CCACACTCTAAGGCTGTGTCTGCACTGCAGAATTAACACAGTTTGACACTGCTTTCTCTTCCATGGCTCAATGCTATGGCTCAAATTCTGGGATTTGTAGTGTTGTGACATATTTAGCCTTCTGTACACGATGGTTAGCCTACAGTTATTATAACATGTGTTGTTATATTTTATTGCTTCCAATTTTAATATTATGCATTAACTTCTAATTGACCCTTGTAGAATGTATGCCAGTGTCAGGTCTTTATTTTATTTTATTTATTTTAACTCAATTGATTGTTTTTATTGTTTAATTTTTATTACAAATAAGGCACAGCGTTATTTTGCATATTTAGTTTTGTCATTAAGTTTCATAAATATTTTGTCTCTCATTCAGAAGTCATATATAACTATGAAACAGAATGGACTTATAATGTATATGTTGTCTGTACAATAAACAAAATCTACTTAAACGAAAGTAAAGTGTGTTTATCTTTTCTTCTCGTTCCTTCATTTAGTGTTTACAGGGTCATTTAACTTTATTGTCTTCTCTAAGACAGTAAGATGTTTTATAGATTTTTCAGCTGTTTTTCATTTTCTTATTATTTGTTTGAAAAATTGTAGCATTCTTCATTTTTTATATTGTTTGACTGTGTTTCTGCTACTAATTCAATTGATTGTATGTACAGCACCGTGCAAACCTACAGCACTTTATAAATACATCATGATCATGATCATCATCATCATCATCTATCAGAGATCTTTGGTGCCACAACTAGCTACAATTCCCAGGATTCCATAGGAAGGAGAAATGGAAGTAAAAGAGATATCAAACTGTATTATTTCTGCAGTGCAGATGCAGCCTCCATCTTCTTTTTAGTCTCAACTAGAGTAAACTAATTTAATCAATGGGTTTTATCTATTATGCCAACTCAAGATTCAGCAGCTGATTCCATGCATCTGCTCTGTTTGGGACTCAACAATGGGATTCAGGTTTACACAGCTCCTATCATCCCCAGCCATAACCAAGATGGGTGTGGAAGATGGGAGTGGTAATCTCACATGTCACAGGGGGCCCAGGCAGAGGAGGTTGCTGTAGTTAGCATTTTCTGAAACACCACATGCATCCCGGGGGAGAGTCCTCCATATGACACCCACAGCTGCATGCATCCCAAGGGAGAGTCCTCCATAAGACACCCATGGTTGCATGCATCCCAGGGGAGAGTCCTCCATATGACACCCACGGCTGCATGCATCCCAGGTGAGAGTCCTCCATATGACACCCATGGATCCATGCATCCCAGGGGAGAGTCCTCCATATGATACCCATGGCTGCATGCATCCCAGGGAGAGTCCTCCATGTGACACCCATGGCCTAGTGCATCCCAGGGGAGAGTCCTATATGTGACACCCACTGCTGCATGCATCCCAGGGAGAGTCCTCCTTGTGACACCCATGGCCTAATGCATCCCAGGGGAGAGTCCTCTATGTGACACCCACAGCTGCATGCATCCCAGGGGAGAGTCCTCCATATGATACCCACAGCTGCATGCATCCCAGGGGAGAGTCCTCCATATGACACCCACGGCTGCATGCATCCTAGGGCAGAGTCCTCCATGACACCCATGGCTGCATGCATCCCAGGGGAGAGTTCTGGCCACAGCACTCATGATTCCCTCCCATGTTTTTTTGAATGTGTTGCTGGTTGCATTACCAATAACGCATAGATGATTGACAGGCATTTTGAAATGGCACAAACTGGTAGGAACGACAATCATGCCAAAAAAGAAGCAAATAAAGAAAAGACCCACTTCCATAGTGGGAACCACACACCGACTGGAATCAATTCACCGACCCAGAGCGAAAGTGAATTGCAAACTGGGTTAAATGTAAGTGGGAATGAGCCCCATGACTAAAGAAATCCTGAAAGATGCAAATCCATCCTCTATTTAAAAACCTCCAAAGAAGGAGAATTTATTCCCATTCCAAGGCAGTCCATTCCACTGTCGCACAGCTCTTCCTTGAAAGACATTCTTCCAAATCTTTAGATAGGACCTTGTTTCTTGTAATTTGAATCCATTGGTTCGTGTTCTAGTCTCTGGAGCAGCAGAAAATGATCCCATTCTACCTAAGATCATTTCAGATATTTAAAGACAGCTATCATGTCACTGCTGAGTCTTCTCTTTTCCAAGCTAAACATACCCAATGCCTTAAGCCGTTCCTCGTAAGGCTTGGTTTCCAGACCTTTGAGCATCTTAGTTGATCTTTGCTGGACATATTCCAGCTTCTCGATATCCTTCTGTCATGTTTCCTGCTACTGCAAAGCTGGGTCACAAACCAAGGGAATGCAATTACGAGAAAGAAAATTCTAAGTGTTTAAAGAACATTTTTTAAAAGTATGCCACCTGAGAAATTGCTTATTGTTGTTGGGTGCCTTCAAGTCATATCCGACTTATGGTGACCCTAAAGCCATACATCTTTTGGAATGGAAGGTCATTGCAACTTATGGTGACCCCTATCATGGGGGTTTTCTTGGAAAGTTTCTGCAGAGTGGGTTTGCCATTGCCTTCTTCTGAGGCTGAGAGAGTATCACTTGCCCAAAGTCTCCCAGTGCGTTTCATGGCCAAGCTGGGATTCGAACTCTGATCTCCAGAATCTTGGTCCAACGCTCAAACCACTACACCAGGGGTAGGCAACCTTTCCCCTTTAAGGGCCGAGGGACTTCACCTCCCAGAAGCCTCAGCCATGTTGGCCTATAATAGTCCCATGTTGGCCAATAGCTCCTGGGATTCTGGGAGCTGAAGTCCCTCGGCGCTTAAAGGGGAAAGGTTGCCTACCCCTGGCATAGTGGTTCGTGCCATTTAAATTGAACAAATGACCCTACATAAACTGATGAAATTAACTGAGACCAACTAAACATTCAGCCTTCTTCCCGTTGTTCTTAATCCCATTGTTCTTGGGTGATACTTCTCTTCTTTACAAAACAGGATTGCTATTGGGATGTGAACAGACATGAAATAATGTTGTCTTGAGTACAATAATCCATAGCTGGAGATGGCTGTTTAATACTGTTTATTTTTTAAAAACTGGATTTCTTGTGAGTCATCCTCACAAGGATCTATTTCT